AATGTAAAAACTAATCACATAAATGACCCATTTTGAATTCAAAATGGCGAATTTCGCCAAAAGGTGACAAGTTTACATCCCTGAACATTTGATTGGGTACTGTCAACCATGAAAATCATATTAATAAAGTCACATAGTAATGTCACAATTGATTTTATATTAGTGTTTTGGAGCTATGAAAATGTATTTGCTTCTCTTAAGTTTTCCTGTTATTTTAGATTTTATTTCCATTTAATAATTATTTATTTATTTTGTACAGAGGCGAACTCCCGCTGTCAGACTCCAGTGAAGTTTAAGTTGAGTTCAGAGCCTCCTGAGAATGTGGACTGGAGTGGCGCTGAGGCCTCTCTCTTCAGAGTGCTCATTGGCACTTACTATGACAACTTCTGCGCTATCGCCAGACTCATCGGCACAAAGACCTGCAGACAGGTACACACACCTGAGAAGATGGCTTTATGCAATCACATTACATATTGCAGTGTTCATAATACTGCTAAATGCTAGACAACTATGTAGGGCTGTGCAATTAATCGAAAACTATTTTGATTTTGGCCTCCAACGATTATGAAAATACAATAATCGAGATAAAACGATTATTCCGCCCCCTTTTCCAACGCTGCACTTTCGTTCCTCCATAAAAGCCCAATTTCACGTGCAAATCAGTAAAATCATTTAACGTGACTTTTGCAAAATGGGACATGCTTGATTTATAGAAGTATATTTATTCATGTTTTTAAAAACGTGAAAGAGAACTTGCACTGCTCCTCAGGAAGATATATGCGCTCAGAGATGGAACAGAACACGGACATGTGAAGTCAACTTTTAGCTCAAGGTGCACGCCTAAACGGTCAAATACACGCAAAAATGTGTCAATGCGGCGCTTAGTGATTATTCATGTATACCTTCGTCAGTCATGTAATAAATGAACGTAAAGAGTTGAGAATGAAAATACGCGTGTAATGGTAAATTGGATCCGTGCGGCTCTTAAAGTGACAGCAGGCTATTTTCCTGCTGCGACTGTGTGCTTAATATTAATCGAACAACAAAAGACAAATTCAAACTCACACACTGCTCTTGAGTGAAGGAGTTTTGTAGCAAAAAAGAAACAAAAAAGTTTAATTCTTACAGTGAAGACTATGCTGTTTTATTTTACATTTGATTATTCATTTCTGTAGTAGGCTGTAAACTGCTTGAGACTTGCATAAAAAAAACATTAAAGTCCGCATGAAATCAAAATTGACTTTATTTACTTTATTAGCGCACATTGCCAGTATTGATGTGAACAATTAATCCGTGCAAGTTAATCCGCTGAAAAAATTGTTTGTTTTGGTAATCTTTAATCAAAATCTGAATATTTGCTTCTGCTCTGGAATGGCATTCCTTCTCTGATGACATCAGTTTGACGGCTTGGGCAGAATATCCTTAAACACACCCCTCCAATCATTAGGTTGCTATGAGTGAGAGACAGATAGGAGGAGCGCAAAAATAAAACAACGCCCTCTATTCAATATTCCGTTTCAGCTGGAAATACGTCACTACACTGAAATAAAGTCGGCAGCAACTTCCGGTTCATTTGAATGCATTTTAAGAATACTTTTCCCATCAACTGGTCACAATGCACAATACCGCTGCGCACTCATGTAAACAAGCAAAGATGAGAAGCGCATGATGCAATGAAAGCGCACATTCACTCTCTGACAGCAGGTTGCGCTGCAGCTGTTACCCCGGAAACCCTGTAAACAAAGCAGCGTACTTTCTGAAACCTATTTGAATTATTTAAACGTATACATATCTATGATTTAAACAGCCATTCAGATTTGTGTATTCGCTATGGTGTTCATCGTAATAACACGTTAAAATCAAAAGTTGCTACTGTATTTAATGAACTCGCGCTAACATGAACTAACAGTTGGGTTTTTTAACAAAGATGAATAACTTCTGTAGCAAATGTAGCTGTTGCTCATTGTTAATGTTAGTGCATTAAGGTGAATTTGATGAGATCTTATTGTAAAGTGTTACCTATTGCTTTTTAGAATTGTTTTGCACTTTAATCTGTGTGAAATTATTTACTTTATACATTTTATGTGTATTGCTTTATTGTATTTAAATGTTCAGTTTCTTTTTGTTATTAAT